CAGAGAGCACAGCAGGTATCATGTGTCAAAGGAACTTCATTGCTTGGGCTGATGACTAACACTGCTTACAGAGAAATCAAGCCCAGCATGCCAATGCAACCCGACAGTGAGCACATCTCAGAGGCAGCTGCCTCTTATTCGTAGGGCTGCCAGAAAAGTGGTTAGCAAGTGCCTTCAGAGGCTTCTGTTCAGGAATCCTGTCAATCAGCAGAGTTAGTAAAGAGTTATTTAACAGTCAAGACAACTGCTTGTACAGTTTCACACCTGGATAAATCAAGACAGACAGGAAAGCAAATGCTCATTTCTTCCTACAACTTCTCACACCGCTGCCCTGAGAAGGGGCTGAACAAGAGGCAGTGCCATCAGTGCCCCCCTTTCAAGAGGCAAGGGAAGAGAAAACACCAAAACAAACCTGCCACTCCTACAGGCCTATTTACCCAATTCCACGTGATTTACAGGCCTTTCTTACCTGTTATTCTCTGTGCATTTCTTAAATCTCCACGTGTGGTGGGGCTACCATATGCCATGGCAGCAGCCCCACTGCTGAAGCCATGAAGTCTAAAACCCACCAAGGAAAGTGTTTTCTTGTATCCTTCCGCTTGGAAACGTAACATATTGATCTGAGCTCCTTCCCCCACTCCTCAGGGGTTTTAACATTGCTTTCCAAGTGGGTACCAAGTGTAAATGAAGCCTCAAACCATTCTGAGTATCCCATCCCCTGTACCATCTTGTTTGCCAATTTAAGGAGCTGTACCTCAGTATTTGCATAAGCAGCTCTACTACTCCTCAAATTTTCTGAGATCGGGATGCTTTTTATATACAAAAGGCTCTGCAATGTACGTTTCCTATTACTCTGCTCATGGTAAAGATCAGAAAGCAAGATAAATTCTATTTTCTCTCACTTCTCCCTTTCCAGATAGCACTGAATATAATGTAAAACCAGAACCCCAGCAACCCATGACATCCTAAGAATTCCTGCTTGACAATACCCTTGAAATTCCAATAAATATTAAATTGTGTCATGTTTTTTGATAGTCTGTAACATCAATCACAGATGACATTAATACAAGTGTCTGACACAGTATTTGCAGCACTCTGTCCAAGCCACTTTCTTCCTCTTCTTGCTGTTATTTCCTTTGCCATTTTTCTGAGATTGGTGCTATTGAAGAGCTGCAGGCCTTTGCTATTATTCTCTACTCCATAAAAACACAATTATTGGAGTCTGATAGCCTGCCTGGATTACATGAGGACAAAGAAAGGCCCAGCAGGAGGAAAGCATGGCCAGGTGACCCTCTGATACCATGGACAGCAGCAGAGACCCCTCCGGCCCCCAGGAAAGGTAATTAGAGAGGCAAATTCTTTTGGGTTTTTTGAACTATTTTTGCACTATCAATTCAAGGGAAAGAGAGGAGGAGAAAAAGGGGGGTTCAGCAGGGTCAAATGCAAGGTCCTGCACCTGGGTTGGGGCAACTCCTGGTATCAATCCAGGCTGGGGGATGAAAGGAGTGAGAGCAGCCCTGGAGAAGGATTTAGGGGTGCTGGTGGATGAGAGGATGGACATGACCCAGCAATGTGCCCTGGCAGCCCAGAAAGCCAATTGTATCCTGGGCTGCATCCAAAGCAGTGTGGGCAGCAGGTGAGGGGGGGATTCTGCCCACACTGCTTTGGTGAGACTCCACCTGCAGTGCTGCCTCCAGCTCTGGGACCCCCAACATAAGAAGGACGTGGACCTGTTGGAACAAGTCCAGAGGAGGCCACAAAGATACTCAGGGGGCTGGAACCCTTCTGCTATGGAGACAGGCTGAGAGAGCTGGGGGTGTTCAGCCTGGAGAAGAGAAGGCTCTGGGGAGACCTTACAGTACCTTCCAGGGCCTAAAGGAGATTATAAGAAACATGGGGGCAGATATTTTAGCAAGGCCTGTTGCCATAGGAAAGGAGTGATGTTTTTAAACTAAAAGAGGGTAGATTCAGACTAGAGATAAGGAAGAAATCTTTTGCAGTGAGGGTGGTGAGGCCTTGGCACAGGTTGCCCAGAGAGGTTGTAGATGCCCCATCCCTGGAAGTGTTCAAGGCCAGGTTGGATGGGGCTTTGAGTGACCTGGTCTGGTGGAAGGTGTCCTTGCCTATGGCAGAGGGGTTGGAACTGAACGACTCCAAAATGTTCCTTTCAGCACAAAATGTTTTATGATTCTGTGATTCTATGGAAAATACGCTTTAGGAAAGTTCTGTTAAAAAAAAAAAAAAGATGAACTAGCTATTATTTAAAATTACAAGGTTTTTCTCATTTGCATAATTTATGTATGTATTATATAATTTTAAAATATTAATATAAAATGCGCTATACTTAATATAAATCTGTAGATTTATATATAATTTAACTCTATTTGTTGATGTTTGGTTGTCAGCAAATGGAGAAATAACAGAGCTTGGTACCGGATTTTAAATAAAACCCTCAATCCAGAAATTATTTTTATTATAACTTCTACCCCTTTGCTCCTTTTCCCTGGTCAGACACTAATGGTGTGAGAAAGGAGATCAGAAAGTGGCTCCAAGAGCTCAGCTGGCAAAGAGGACTGGTGAACCACAGACAGAAATTTTTCTTCAGGTTTGAATACTCTTGATTTTGATTAAAATAAAATATTTTTCTCAAATTTCAGTTTCTACAAAAGCCTTTTTAAAATGAAATGTAAATTAGAAGATAACTTGAAACACAATATTAAAGAATTTTACACCAAAGTTGTCAAAGCTGACATTTTCAGAAACACATGGAAGCTTATGTTGGCTAAAGTAATGGAATCAATCAAAATTCACAAAATACTCTGATCCACAAATAAGAAATACTTATTTCCCCAGCTTTTCTTTCCTTCCTTACTTTCTTTCCTTCCTCCCTTCTTTTCCTTCCTTTCCTTCCTGCCTTCCTTCCTTCCCTCCTTCCCTCCCTTCCTTCGAGTGGAAAAACATAATTTAAACTATATTTTATTATTGTCAAAGGGTAATCTGCTATTTCTGAATACAAAATGATCCAAACATGCTCTTCCATCACAATTTAGTTACCAATGTCAAACACAAATCCAAAACCTGGGAGGCCAATGGCCAGCCAAGAGCTGGGCTATTCCGGGGAGAGGACAGTAAATCTAGGTTTCTTTATTTTTCACAATCCTACTCAAGAGATTTCTTTTCCAGACTCATTGAGAAAACTCTCCAAGGACGTTTTTGGTTATATGTGAAGCCACAGTCCAAAACCTCTGCAATTCTATTTGGAAAACAGGTGGGAAAGGAGAGGGACTTACTGGTGGCAGCAAGCCAGTGTGAAGAGCTGATGCATTTGGGTGTGATTTAGGGGGTTGTTTTAGAGCAGGGGCTATGGATGAGGTTTACACCCAAGCACTCAAAGAACGAGATTTTCACACCTTTTCTTGCCGAGCTCATTTTCTGCCAGCTCATTAAGTTGAGTGAGCTCCCAGAGGAGTCCGAGAGGTGTCAGTCACTCCCTCAAGCTCAGACCTGCAGCTGGGAAGAGGAATTCTCCTTTGCAGGCAGCCAATTTAGCCAAGTTTGCCCCCGAGACATGCCTAAACAACCCACCGTCCAGCTTCCAGCTGCTCCAAAACCCCACACCCACCATCCCATAGCTCCGAGCCCGACCCAACCTCCCTGGTAAGGCAGGGAGAGACTGGGCAGGTGACATGTCACCAACGCTGATGCCACAGGTTCCCCTTTCAGTCTGTTTTTTTTTTTTTGGCATTTTGGTTCATGAACAGAACACCCTATTTAGCAACAGAGGAGACAACCCCACTGAACGCCGCTTATTTTTATTTTCATGCATCAGATCGCCGTGCCCCTGCAGCTGCGGCGGGGCGGGGGAAGTGGGAAGGGCTGGTTTGAAGGCAGGGGGGGAAAAAAAAAAGCACCGTTTCCACGGGGAGCCCCTGCTCCCGGAGGGATGAAACGGCTCCCGGCTGGGAGTGGGGCGGAGGCGCGGGGAGGAGCGGGGCAGAGGAACGAGCGGGGCGGCTTCCACGGCTCCCTCGGTAAGTGCTGCCGCCGGCATCCTCATCCCCATCCCCGGGCAGATCCTGAGATCCCCTCCCCGGGCAGGGCTCCCCGTGGGCTGTACTGCCGCCCCTCGCCGCTCCGGGTGGGACTCCCTCTTTAGCAGGCTTCCCCCAGGCAGATCCTGTGCCCCCTGCCCAAAGGACACACACCCCCGGATAGCGTCTCCCAACCCGGGCAGGGCTTCTCCCGCTCCTTCTCCATCCCCGAGACAGACCCATGGCTGGTTCCCCCTGCCCCGGGCTGATGCAGCGGCAGATGTGCTCTCCAGCATCCTCGAGGTTTTGACCTACCGAGGTGGCCGAGGGCTTTGCTCTCCGGAGGGTTGGTATTTTTGCTCCCCAGAGGGCTGGCATTCTTGCTCCCCAGAGGGTTGGTATTCTTACTCCCCGAGTTTTGGAATTTTTTTACCCCTTGGAGTTGGATTTGGCACCCCGGGGCTCGGGATTTGCACCCCGGGGGTTGGTGGTTTTGCGCTCAGGGACCGGGGGTTTGGCACCCCAGGGATTGGTAGTTTTGCAGTCCAGGGACTGTGTGTTTTGCACCCCAGAGGGTGAGGCTTTTGCCTCCCCAGGGACTGGGGTTTGGCACCCCGGCTCGATCGCTACCCCAGCACCAAAGGGCACCCCCATGTTTGTAGCGCGGGTTTAACTTCGCCTTGAGTTTTACTGCTGTGGTTACGCTCCAGTCTCTCCTCTCTCCTCGGAGCAGTGGTTGCGAGGGAATTGCTCTGGCTGTGGAGGAGCGTTCCCGTCTGCCGGGGATTGATCCCAAACCGCTGTGCCGGCTGTAGGTGCGGGTTCCATGTCCTGCGTTGGGGCAGGAGCCATCAGCCTCACGCAGCCGGGCTGGGAGCAGTTCCGTGGGGAGGGATCCGGGAGCCCCGCGAGCTGCTCTGAGTCCTTTGTACCCTGTTGCTGAGCAAGATCCACGCTCCGGGCTCGGGGATACTGCTCAGCTGCTTCAAGCCGGCGGGCTGAGTTCAGCTGTCAGCTTTGAAGGTAAGGATACTGTACTTTGCCTGGTTTCTAGCCCCGGGGCTGACAGAGAGGCTGTAGGGTTCTGTGCCGATTCCACATCTTCAAATGTGGAAAGAAACCATTCGTACCCTGAGCAATGCTGCCCTTCAAATGGGAAAGTTGGAGAGAGTGAGGGAGAAGGAAAGTCAGTGCAGAGACTCAGTCGCTGCGTGGACTCCTTGAATGCAGATTGTACAGGTGGAAGCATCCCCAGGGATGTTCCTGCTCCTTTATCACCTCACAGAGCCTTGCATTGTAATGGACTGTTCAAGAAATTACTGACCTGACGCAGTTTTCACTCAGGGGGAGGAGGAGGAGGGAAATGTGTTTGAGGTCCCGGGCCAGGTGTGATTTTCGAACCTGCTGCCATATGTTGGTTCATTCTTGGTTTAGCAGAAGAGCAGAGTCTGACAGCAAATACATTTCCAGTAACATATACCCATTTTTCATCTTTCCTGTAAGATTTTAAAGTGCAGTTAGCCTTTAGATTGCAGAACTTGTTTCTTTTTTTCCTCCCTTGCCATCAAAATATACATTTTACTGATGAAATTAACTTTTTGCTTGGGATTTTTCTGCAGAATAAATTAGGTCAAACTTTCTGGATATTAAAGGGAAACTGAAATGGTGGGGTTGCTTTGCTCAGGCAACCCGAAAGCAGAATCTAGCCCACGAGTTTTTTTGAAGGGAAGTAAAACTATAATGTCCAAATAAGAACAATGCAAACCCTGGGGCATCTGAGATCCCCAGGAAACCTGGGATGATCCCACATCATGGTACAACTGGGCATTTATCCTACTGGTTTAAGAGGGCTCCTTACAGTAAAGACTGAAAGACTGATGTTGTAGAAAGACTCTGGGGTATATCAGCATCACAACCCCATGGGCTGGTGCAGCTCATGGGAGAATTTAAAAGCTGCAATATTTTAAGCTGTGGAAGTACATCCCTGGGAAGGATGGCACATCCTGCTTTGTCCCAGTAATTTCCACAGAGATGTTAGGATTGTCTCATCTCCCACTTTCCTGCATTAACAATTCTCCAGGTGGAGAAGCAGCACTTCTCAGTTAAGTTAACAGGGACTGTGGATGAGCTTCCAGGGCCCTTCTGCCTGGGGATCCTTGAAAAGGAATCAGGAGTAGCAAGACCCTGTTGTCTGCACTCTAAATTAGGGTTCAGGGTCCAGGCCTCAAGTTTCAAGCATCCATCATCCCTTCCTTTTGTCATCAGAGAAGTCATGGATGTCAAATAAGGACAGCCTTATTTCCAGTCCTCAGCCTGTCTTTGTATTGACCAAAGAACAGGAAGACAAGAGAGTTTTTCCCAAATGTTTTGTGAGTGTGGGCACATCTGTCTCCTGTTTTTGTTCATCACTGAGTCATACTCCTGGATATATCCTGCATTAAGGAACCTTCTGTGAGTTTTCCACTTGAGAAGACCTTTTAACCCAGGCTGGTGGCTAAGATGGCACTTGAGGAGCACAGGGCGCTTGCAAAGAGGAACTCTAATAACCCTGTCCTAATGCTACTTAAAGTTGGAGAGTGGTGTGCATTTGCAGAGTAGTAGCAGGGCAATGTTCTGCAAGTAACGATCTGCTTCAATTAGAGTTGTACTAACACTGATACAGGCTTAATGACTGTCTGGGAACAGTCATTTGCAGAAAAAGGAAATGTGGCTTTGAAACCTTCATGTTTCAGAGTTACATCTAAAAAACCCCAAATAATTAATCCGGACTTCTCCTCTATCATTCTCATCTATCCACAGCCATAGAACAAAAATCTGGCACCGTGTTTTTAAAACCTTAAGACCTGATGTTTTACCAATCAATGTCGGATTGATTTTAAGGTTTTAAACCATAGGTTTTTCGTCAAACCTGATTTTTGCTGTTCATGTCTTAGAAGTCCCATGGTCTTCTGGGAGAATGTGGGGCTGACTGGGTGGTGCTCATGTGTGTAAACTGGTTAGGGGTCAGCTCAAGGTGGGAAGCAGAGGACTGTTTCCAGACCTTGCAGAGGTACCAGGGGTGTGGGGACACCAGCATCTCCCAGCAGATACGGGAGATGAGCTGGGAGATGGACGTGGAGCATGGAATGGCCCTTGCAGTGGCGGGTTCTGGAGTTTGGCTGGCTGTGTGGCCATGGGTTTTCTCCATGTGGTTTTCCCAGCTGGCAGTCACTGTGCTGTCTGTGCAGACCATGGAGGGGGGGGAGAACGGGCTGAACAGTTTTCCTGCCAGGAAGTGTGGTTGCATTGAAATCCAACTGTTCTGCAGGAGCTCATCCAGCCTGGTGACATCCTCAGTGGGGCTGTTACAAAGAGTGGCGCAGATTATCCCCTTTCCTGTCAGTAACAGAAGAGCTGGAGACAGGGTGCTTCATTTCATTTTATGGGGTGTTACTGGGATGTGAAATGTCGTCCAAGGAACATTTTCATTAAGACTGATGTACTTAAGACACCCTGCAGACTTCTAGCAGTGCTGGCTCAGGGGGCTGCCAAAGAGATGATGTCCAAAAAATGTGCCTGTTCATCCCAGCTTGGCTGAGGAGGAGCTTTCTTTCTTACTTTCTTAGTTATTTCTAGACAGCTTTAGTTATTTCTTGATTTTACTTTTTTTGTTTTAAACTTGAAAAAAAGGAAAGCACTAAATCCAGCAAATAAATAGAAGTAAAGGGAGGGAGCTGAGGATTTTGAAGGATGAGTGGGTGCATGTAATACATGATTACATCCAAGGACAAGGTCAGCATTGCTATTAGAAAAAGCAGCCCAGCTTCACAATCATATAGGAGTGCCTGGAAGAGGTGAGTAGGTATGTGGATGAGAAGCACCTCGTTGGTGTAGCCTGCTTGGATTTCTGAAAGGTTTTCAATATGGTCCCTCGTGGTGGGGGATTTTAAGGAAACTTAATAGCCCTGAGTTAAGAAGGAAGTTCCTTGTGTGAATAAATACTTGTCTGGAAGGTGAAATGCAGGGGGGAAAGCAGACAGTAAGTCACCATGTGGAAGAGAGGCCAGTGATGCTCTTTGCAAGGATAGGGGCTGGGATGTGTGGGAACCTATAAACCTCCAACTGGAAAAATCATGAATCCTGAAGTGGCGACATTTGCAGCTGAAATAAAGTTTAATCAGGGCATGAAGGATAAGGAAGGCCTGACTCCATGAATTGTAGAAAAGCTTTTATGAGGCTCGGTGAGCATTAAAGTGGAAGAAGAAACTCAACTGTGAAGTGATGGAGTTTGGGGAAGATGAAGAGAACTTCCTTTCCTCATTTCATCCTATTTTCCCATCTAAAGCTCCTGTTACTGCTCAGGAACAAGACCTTTGGATGGTGATAGCCCAGTGGAAAGGTCAGTTCAGTGCTCAGCACCAATCAAACCAGCAAACCGAGCCTGGGATGGTCATGAAAAGGAAGCAGGACAAAACAGAGGTTATGCCCTTAGATAAATCCAGATAAATCCACAGTCCATTTACCTCTTGGAATTTTTTTTGAGTTTTGGTCCATCTCAGAAGCTCAGAAGAGCAGGAGGGAGGGACAGGAATCCTCCATTGCTTCTGTACAAGGAATGAGCAAATTGGCAGAAGATCCTCAGCCTGACTAAGAGAAGAAGAGGGTCCTGGGGGATGTGACAGAGGTTAAAGAGCCCACCAGTGCTGTTGAGAGAGTGGATGGGGATTGTTTGCATGTTGTGTCTTCCAAGGACCAGCGGGCACCAAATGAAACTAGCTGGTGACAGGCTCAGAACAAGCAAAAAGAGGTGTTTCTTTGCATGGTGCACAGCTGAGCTGTGGGAGGTGTTGCTATGGGAGGTCATGGATGCTAAAAGTTTGCTGGGCCAAAGGGGAAGCAGGACAACTTCATAATTTAGAAGTTCTCGAAACCATCTTTAGAGGTAATTCTGGATCATAGGCTACTGGAAGGAAAAACAGATGCTGGGGATGTTTTGCTACATTCTGCCTTGTTCCTACAATGATCCTAAGGCAAAGTTTGGCCACTGTGAGATAAGACACGTAGGACTACAGGGGTGTTTGTGGAGACCCACCTTCAGGCTGCACTCAGCAGTGATGCCCTGGAGACATGGGATTGATCTGAGGGTACTGTGCAAGCAGAGCCTGGTCACAGGAGAAGTGATGGTATTTGAATAATAACAATTTGACATCTGGAAATAATTCTATACTTCTCTTTTCTCCACAGGTTTTGTCTTTGCCCTTAGCCACACCAGTGTGTTTTGAACTGCTGGATTTTCTGCAGCACACCATTCCCACCTTCCCAGGTGTTTGTGGCACCACTCAGTCAAAGTCTGGGAACTGAGCTGTGGACACAAACACATGAATTTCCTCAACTGGAAAATCCAAAATGAAAAATGAATAAGCTCCCTGTGTGGTTACAGGCAGCCCTGCATGGTCATTCAGACTGGAAAATGAAGCTGCCCATGATGGCAGTAAAAAACCTCTTAACTTCAGAGCACCAGGACAGCCCAGGCAGGGCGTGGGCTGGACAGTGGGGTTATGGGAGCAGCCAGCCTGGGCAAGCAGCCTCAACTGGTCTGGGGGTGGCAAACATGATGATGATGAGAATATAGAATCATAGAATGGCTTAGGTTGGAAGGGGCTTTAAAGATCATCTAATTCCAGCCCCCTCACATTGTGGACATGGCATGCTGTTCAGTGGGATTTAGCTCAGCTACTTTAATTTTTGCTTTCAGTTGTTTGCTTGTCCTTTCTCTGTTCTCAGTACATTTCTTTTTTCTTTTTTTTTTTTTTTGTCTCACACTTCATCTTATGATGCATTTTTGTTCACAGAAGGGCTTTTAATTGCCATGAAGGACTTATGCTGGACATTTATCCGCACCCTTAGCATTTCAGACACTTCTAATGGACTCAGAACCATGGGACAGTGATGGCACAGGCACAGCAGGGTGTGTGGATTTTCCTTGGAGTAAATAAAGCATGAACAATATTTCTGTCTTTCATTTCACACACCTACAAGTCGTGCATCAAAGTAATTTTGTTTTTCCCCTTTCCTCTCTTCCAGATTTTAACAGTGGGAAGATGCTGATGGACAAAAACGAAACTTGGCTCTTTAATTTCTCCTCTGCTGCCTCCTCCTTTGTGAGGAGAGGGATTGGGCTCCAGGAGGTGGTCATTGGGCTGATCCTCACCCTCATTGACCTGATCACCCTCCTGGGAAATACCGTGGTCTTCCTCTGCCCCGTGGTGGAGAAGAGGCTGCGCACTGTCACCTACATGTTCATCATGTCCTTAGCCATGGCAGACTTCCTTGTGGCCTGTCTGGTCATGCCCTTCAGGTGAGGAGTGTCACTGGTACAGTGACACGTGCACGAACGTCCTTTCTCCTGGCTCTGCATCCACTCTTTGAGCAGGGCTGGCTGGAAGTTCACCTGCTGGGCTTAGGGCTGGGTTTAACTCTGGGTTGGTGATTATTTGTGCTTCTGTGTCTCTACCCTGTATTATGGATCCCCTTATAATGGGTGGAGAGACAATTCCCAAGGGTGTTTTTCCTGCTGGCCACACAGGGACCCTGGCTGCCTGAATTAGATATCCAGCTTTGCCTGTGGCTCCAGGGCAATGAGTCCCCTCTTCCATGAACACCTCTGTGTTGCACATGGGGCCAGCATGGTTGGTAGATGATTTTGCAGGCTCCAAGTGTTTGGGGAATGTGAGCTGAGGACTGCATTAAGAGCGGTGACTGCTGATGGAGTGGTTGTTGTATCCCATCTTTCCCACTGTCTTGGCTTCCTATCTATGTTGCTCCTTTGAATTTCAGTTTGCTCCTCAGTTGGCATGCTAGCACATGCCAAAGAGAAGGGAAAGAAGTGACCCTAGGAGCCAGTTTGGCTCAGGAAAATGTGACAGAAAGGAAGAACAACATAGTCACTTGGTGCCTTAATCTGAAGAGTAAAACATCTATTTTGTTCCTGGCTTGGCTTGTTTGAAGGAGTGGCTCAGCTGAGCTTACAGCTTGTTGTCTGGGTACTCCAGACAGCCCAGTTATTTCTGGGCTGAATATTTCCAGCTACTCTTTCCTTTTGCAAGTGTAATTGAAACACAGAGGTGGCTTCACTTTTGCTCAAGTTGTGCATTTTTTTTTTTGACTTTTACTATTCCTTCTTACCCAGCATCATTTCCAAGCTGCAGAGAGACCTCTTATGTCAGAGAAGAGGGAACAGGTACCCACTACCCCGCAGTGTAAGAACACCTGCTAGGACAGCTGCATCCCACCAGATGCGTGCAGATGAGAGCCAGGCACCTCCTCAGCTGGGGTCTGTGTGTGGGAATGTCCTGACAGCAGCATGGATACTTCTGGAAGGCCACAGCACTCACACCACAGGCTCTGCAGCATCTCTGGGGATAAGGAGGGCTCTGAGGAATGGCAACAAGGCACCCGAGTCCATAACAGAACCTGTGCTTCAATTCTGCATGTCATTTCCCCATCTGAAAAAGAGCCATGAAACCTTTCCATGTGTGTACAGTGGGACCCTCCACAATGCCCTCATGGGTACCATCATGGTGTAGGGACAGGTTCTGCTGTAGATCAACATTTGCTTGAATTTTTACTGGTCATCCTCCAGAACAAAGAGCTGCCAAGGGCTGGGACCTTTTAGCTGCACTGCACCCACCTACAGCAGTTGTTGTGCTCTGGAACAACCTTCATAAGTAATTTTAAAGAGTTGTTGCCAATCAGACATAGACCAGGCATTGTTTTCTCTCTCCTCTGACACCAAGTTACTCTTTCTGCCCTTGCTGGAAGCAGAGCCCACCTGAGCTCTGCAGAGCAAAAGCCTTGATCTCACTGCATTTAACCAGCAAGCTGGGAAGTTACAGGGTAATTAAAGCTTTGCAGGACTAGGGAGTTACTCATCAAATTCACACACAATGGTGATTTCAGCAGCACCCCAGGAGTTGCAGAAAGCTGGTGAAAGAAAGGGGAAGTGAATGGCATCTCATTGAATGCTATAGAAACATGCATCAGCCTTCCTACAGCTGCCATATGTTCCTTCCCTTGCTGCTCACTTCTCACAGGCCCCTCTTGACTTTGCTGGAAGTATTTTTGGTATAATGTCTGCTTTTTGCTAGTGTGTTTACCTCACTGAGGCATTTATGAGCTACATAATGAACAAGCTGCATAGTCTTCCTACCAGAATTTTTTTTTTTTAACCAAGAGTTGAAATCCTCTAGTTTTGAAGGGTGAGATGAGATGTAAAGTGAATTTCTTAGGGCACTGGAAAAAAGCTGTGATAAACGAAGCTCTGCAGATGTAAATTTGGGGAGTTTAGTGGGGCAAAGCCCCTCTCTCAAGGCACCTACTCAGGATGCAGGCAAGAAGCACAGGTTTGGTCTTCTTTAGCCATGGTCCACCTGTGGGTTATTGCCCTGGGTTGTGCTTTGAGGATGAATCCCCGCTGTCAGAGCTGCATCCCCATCTTTATATCTCCATGATGAAATATGGCATTACTTCTGTGCAGTCATGAAGAAATAGAATCACAAAATGGTTTGGGTTGGAAGGGACCTTAAAGATCATCCAGTTCCAAGCCCCTGCCATGGGCAGGGACACCTTCCACTAGACCAGGTTGCTCAGAGGCCCATCCAACCTGGCCTTGAACACTTCCAGGGAATGCACAAACTCAGCCCTTCGAGCTTTGATTTCCGCCTGTTTTCTCTCGCAGCATCATTTACGAGGTGACGGGGATGTGGCTGTTTGGGAAGCTTTTCTGCAAAGTCTGGATCTCCTTTGATGTCATGTTCTGTACCGCATCCATCGTCACACTGTGCTTCATCAGCCTGGACAGATACTGCTCCGTGGTGACCCCCTACCACTACTCCAGAAGGATGTCCCGGGGCAGGTGAGTAGAGTTGCTTCTCACTTTGGGTTCCTCCAAATCATCACTTGGGTGTGGCCTGCATAGAATTTGGACCAAATGAGCTACTGACAGCTGCTGCCCAGAAGCAGAGTGTTGTGGCAAAAGAGTCTTTGCACTGTTTAAAACTCTGCTGAAAATGTTCCACGTGGTGCCAGAGAAGAGGAGGATGCAGCTGAGCTGGTTTGATGGTGCTCTTGGAAAAGCAGTTTTTGAGCTAAGGATGGGTTGCAAAATGGGTAGAAACCAGTGATACGGGCTGATTGGACCTACAACTTTTGCCCTTTGCAGGCACTCCATGGGCATTTCACAGAATCATAGTATAGTTTGGGTTGGAAGAGACCTTAAAGATCATCCAGTTCCAACCTCCCTACCATGGGCAGGGGCACCTTCAACTAGACCAGGCTGCTCAAAGCCCCATCCAGCCTGGCCTTGAACACTGCCATGGATGGGGAAGGACTTTGAAGCACTTCCAAGGACTAGGGGAAAGAGACTCAGAAGAATGCATGTAGCACTACTCTTCCCTCTCTCAAGCTCATCATGTTTTCTGAAGTGATATTCAGGGAAAACCAGAAGAGTGTATAAGCTCCTGGGTTGGTTTCATGTGAAAGGCTGAAATGAGGACTGAAGGGTAGGTAGGGAAAGTCGTCTGAGGGTGGGCAGAGAGGACTCTGCAGCCGTGGAATGCTTTACGGGGGGGTTCAGGCTCCTTTGGGCATATTTTTCTGCCTCTGTACCCCTTGCTTTGTATGATATGCTGAGTGTGTGCAGTTGCAGAAGTGAGGAAGGGGCTGTGTGGCCCCCAGTGCACAGGTTCTGTGATGTTGTGTCCATCAGCTCCACCCCCATCGTGCCTCAGAGGGTGAGATATTGGCCAGATATTAAAGCTGAAACCAAACTGAAAAATCCACACGCTGTTGTTTTAAATAGTAACAAACATCCTCTGTAAAACCTTTCCTCCTCTTTTTTCAACCAGCTCTGAGCATTCCTTTTGCTGCCCCCAGTTCTGTAAACCACCAACCAATTACCCAGTTGTTAGAGATATTCACGTCTGGAGTTGTTGTACCCCAGCTTTTTCCCTTCTCCAAGCCCTGCTGGACTGCTGAGCAGTGATATCCCACACAGGTTACCATGGGGATCGAATCGTACTGGATGTTCTCAACTCAAAATTACTCAGACCCTCTCTCCCCTCCCCGTCTCTTTCCTTTTGCAGATGCATTGTGATGACCTGCATGGTCTGGGTGTATTCCTCCCTCATTTCCTTCCTTCCTGTCATGCAAGGCTGGAACGAGATCCCCGGGGTGGACTTTGATGTGGGCAGGGAATGCATCTTTGTCACCAACTGGATTTTTGCCATCGTGGCTTCTGCCCTGGCGTTTTTTGTTCCCTTCATGGTGATGTGCAGCATGTATTTCTTCATCTACCGAGCCTCGCGGCTCAAGGCCACCCGTATCATGTCCCAGACCCTGGAGATTCACTACCACCCCAACAGCAAGCGGCAGAACCACCTGCAGCTGGAGAACAAGGCCACGAGGACCATCAGCATCATCATCTCGGTCTTCGTGCTCTGCTGGCTGCCCTACTTCGTCCTCAATGTCTGGCTCGCTGCCAGGGGCACCGACTCCACCAGCACGGTCCTGGTCGACACCTTCAAGATCATCACCTGGTTGGGATACTGCAACTCCACCATCAACCCCATGCTCTACGCCTTCCTGAACAGGGACTTCCAGCGGGCCCTGAAGAAGCTGCTCATTTGCAGGCACAGGTCTCAGGTGGACATTGGAGAAGACATGGTTTCCATAGCCACCTTCTCCAAGACCGCTCCAGATCTGGAATACAGCACGGCGGTGCCGGTGCCCAACGGTGCCCTGAAGGGCAAACCCAAGTCATAGGGATGCAGGGGCAGTTGCTGGAGGTGGTGATACAGAGAGTGCCAGAGCACATCCTAATGGAAAAATAGTGGGCAGCAAAATAAGGGAAGGAGGGGCTGGAATACGGCAGCTGGGGACATACAACAAAGATGCATTTCTTAACCTTCCACAGTTATAAGAATGAGGAGCTTTGATATTTTCGGGACAATTTGTGATACTAATGGAGTTAATTCCTTCCTGGATATTTTTTTTTTTTAATGAGCATTTCCCAAGACAAATCCAACCATAACGTTGGGGAAAAAAATATCAGTATGATAATGTGAACTCATCTTCGTGTGCATCCTGGTGATCTGTGTCAGGTGGGACAGTGTTTCTTATCAAGCCACTGTAGCTCTCATTTCACAACTTCATTACAGACTTGACCAGCTTCAGTAACTCCACGTGTATCAGTCTGGGTGTGGGAATTAGGAGGGATGTGGCCAAAGAGCAGAGCTCACTAGTTACTGAGGCACCAGTCTGCAGCCTGGGCTGTTGCTCAGGGTTCAGCTCACTTGCTTCTGAGATACTGAGAGGTTTAGAGCCTTCTGGGGCTTTCTGTGAATTATCTGTGAGCTAATTCTGGAAGGGAACATCCTATGTGGCAGAGCCCAGGAGATGAGCAAGGCTTGCTGTAATGCCAAGAGCACTGGGTACCCAGGAGGTTCAAAGGGGGCTACAGGTGGCTGATACCACCCAAAGAGAGGATGTGAAGAGGAATCATTACTCACCTGTGTGTTTTGCACTGTGATGTCTATGGACCACACAGACACAAAAAAAATCATGATAAATGGAAACCATTATTTTTACTACTCCCAAGTGCTTGTCTGGACTTCCAACAGCTTTCCTGTAGCAGGGTGACATGAGGGCTGGTGAACCCTGAGACAACAGCCATCGCTTCCCCAACACAGTTGTGGTGGGGTCTCACACTGGTTTACGTGGGAGGGTCGCTGCACTCAGAGCCTGCTCTTAGACTGATCTTCTATGGGCATGAAACGCTTCAAAGATGGTTTCTGAAATACCTCCTTCTGAGTGTCAATCACTTCTTTGGGACAGGCAAAGCTTCTGCAGCCTGGGAAGCAGAGCAGGCACAGCAGAAAGATGTCCAGGCTAACATTTAATGCTAAAACTACCAGACTGAGGCACTGAGAGGGGTGAAGAACTTCATTTTGTTGAAAAATTAAAAAAAAGGGAGTCCTTCTGCTCTTTCACCTCAGAGGTAGCTGAGGACTGTCCTCAGAGGTGTAGCAAAATGCAAGTATGTCCTGCCTGGAGCAGCTCAGCTACTGAAAACACAGGTACAAGGGTCAGGAGTTCTCTCTCAAGAGTCTGGTAGAAAAAACAACCCTGACCTGGGGTTGCAACGCTGGTTCTCCCGTCAAATGGCTCTTCATGGAGTGGGTTGGGTCTCCCAGATCCTACGACTCCAGTAACAACATGGAAATGGTAAGTAGAGCAACTACACCTTATTCTGGGGGCAGCATCTAAGTCCAGTGGGCACAAGGGTGGACAGGGCAGGATTCTTGCTGCTGCCACCCTGTTAATTTTGATAAAACAGGACAAGGAATGATGTTCCAGCCCCAAGAGCTTTGTGGGGGAAGGCAGCTGAGGGACAGGTAACATCCTCTGTAAGAAGGGGACTGGGACAGTGCATCACAGCCCCAGTCAAAGCCCCTCCTGCAGGGCTGTAGGCTCCCAGCTATCCTAGTTCAGGTGTCCTTCCACAAAAACAGCTGGCAGGAAGGAACACACCATTCACAGAAAAACCTCTCTGATCAGGGAAAAGGATTTCTCAGTCAAATCCTGGAACAAAGAGGTGCAAAGACAGGGACAACACACTCCAGCAAAGACTGACCCAGGCAGTGAGAGGCTGAGCATGGCCAGATGCTTTTGTGGGCATGGGCCACACAGGGGAGGGTTTGTACACACCTCTGAGGGTAAGTGTAACATCCCAGAATATGCAGACAAACCTAGTGTGAACACATATACCAGTGTTGGTACTGAAATGCTGCAGGGCCCTTGGAATAGGCATCTGCCTACATCAAGTTAAAAATACCCTATTCCTCATTCCTGTGCTCCCATCTGTAATCACTGAGCTGGCAGGGAAGCCAGAGAAGTTTCAGATGTGGCCATTTCACTGTGCTGTTGTAGCTGATGCAAACTGGGAAATCCAAGGGAAGAGGACACACTTAACTGTCTTCTGCTTTAACCCAGCTAAAAGCAATTAAATTCTGTTTCTGACCAAATATTCTCTGCAGCATTCTGGCTTCACCTGGACAAGCCAGTATCTAAGACAGTTATCCAAGAGGACAGGGGAAACCATCTTTGTAATTCACCTCAGTCTTATCACAAAGCTGCAGAGTGTCAGCAGAGTTTAAGCTGGTTTAATTGCTGGTCACAGTGTCACACCACACTGCAGTGATCCCCAGAAGGATTTGCATCCGACACCTTTTTAGGAAACTGATTTCAGAGGCTACAACTTTAACAAATTTAACTGTGAAATGTAAAAATGCATTTCTACAAGAGCAGTTCTAACAGCATAAGAATTATCCCTTCTTCTTCCTTCTCTGTTAACAGGTGTGAGATTGCCTCCACAATCCACTCAGTTTAGAGCCCAATTCCCTTCTTTCTCCAGATCATATCTCACTTCCAAGCAGCACATTCGGTTTTGCGTCATCACACACGCTGTGGCCAGTGTGAGACAGGAAAGCAAAGGAAGTTACAGGAATGCAGAGCCCATCCTGTTCCCACTGCATGGGGCTGCCACCTGCAGCATGCACAGATCTGGGCTTCCCACAGAAGCAACTACTATTTTGTCTTATAAATAAAAAAAGTTTATTAAATCATTTAGACTTGAAAGAAGTCACAATAATCAATGCACTCAACAATTACAGCAAGTGCATCCTGTACACCACCAACCCAAATGGATTGATTCTGTATTTTATAAATAAAAATTAACATATTTACAGTGAGAAATAAAAGCATGGCATTAGGCAGTTAAATTAGCAGATTACACAAATGCCTACCGGTTGATTTTTTTTTTTTTTTAAAAAGTACAAATCTACAAGATTACATACGACACGTATGACTTCATTAGGTTTAAATTTTCAGAATCACAACATTTTTGTACATAATTTTGACTATGGCTCTTCCAATCACTGCCTATAAAACCCCCCGTTTAACGGCAAAAAGCTCCTTTTCCTTCTCTACAGCTTCATCTGTATAAGATGCATTCCCTAAGATCTACAGTAGTGCAGAAGTATGAAATGATTTCCTCTAATGACTGGCTATGGACAGTGACAATATGTACAACTGTGGTACTTTTTTGCTTCAAAAATAGTGCAGATTCCCAGTTCACCCACCAGGGACAAAAATGGAGTCATAGTTCATTTCAAAATCATCTTCATTTCACCAAAGAGCAAGTGATCCAGATAGATACTCACTAGGCTAGGAGACTGTAATTTGCTCTATAAAAATACAGTATTTTAATTCTATTTACACGTTACAGATCTCTCACTTACCCAGCAAGCTGACATTTACAAGCTTCAAAAAACCCCAAGAAACCCAAAAAAACTGATAATGGAGCACAACATTGGTAAGCACAGTAGCTGGACCCGTCCGCCTCGGAAAGTTAAGGTAAGGAAAATGGAATGTGGAAAGTGTGGTTACTGGTTTTCCTTGGCTGTCAAAGTAAAGGAAAGTCTGTCCAACATGTCTTATACACTAAACATGGCAAAAAAAAAGTTTAGGTAAACTGTTTCCAAGATAAACATTCTGCATCATAGGATCCTTCTGCTGAACAATCCCTGTAAAACCTGCTGAGTGGAAGAAGTGATCCTGAGGATAGTTATTTGCTTGGTTGTCTGGAATGTTTATTTCCTGATAGACTCATTGTCCGTGACCTCTGCCTAAGCACTGGTTTGGGTGGGAGCTCCAAGTCTTCAAAGACAGGATTTTCTATGATTGCTGCAGCCTCTGGTCTTTCAGTGGGACTTGGAGAGAGCATGTCCTTCACCATGGTGTACTGAAAGAAAACATGACACATTTTACATGAACCAAGTCATAAAGCCTTTCTTCTTTAACGTTTTGACTTCAACTGTGGCTGTGTGAACAAGCATAAAATCCCCCCCGTTCTTTCTGAATACTTTGGGTATTAGTGCTTTGCTTTAGCAGCTAGAAGTGCATTAAATATTTTAAAATGTATCAGTGCGCATCTGTTAAACTGTCTTCACTGTCAAGGACTACAAACAATTTGGCAAACCAAATCTGATCCAAGATTTAAGAGTTATAAAACCTTTACGTTATTTGCAATAAAAAAAAATTTAAATATATGAAATATAATTTACAAGTGATTTTTAGCTTCACGTTTAAGCCACCATGTTTTAAGTCACGCAGTAATTCACAGTTTCACAGCAAATCAGAGATTTTCCCTTAAATATAAAGGTAATTTGAATATTTACTTAAAATTTAATCAGAATTAGTGTCCTCCTCCAGCTGAGCACAGCACATCACTTTCCCCCAGGCAGCCTACAGCTGTAAAGCAGGAAAGGCTGGTCTCATTTAGCTGCTGGACTGAAGCTACCATGAACAACTGAAAGCACCTCAGCCTTCTACTGGAGTGGTTTTGTGCATCACCTCCTCTTTATCTGCAACCACATCACTTTACAGTCCTGACTAATAAGAACACAGCACAATTTGCTCATATGTTTTCCCACTTGGGAGATCCAGTTCCTGGAGGGAGATCCCATCCAGCCATGGATGTGCTACCTACAGCCTCCCCTCTGTCTGTATGGAACTCTGCACTTTCTCCTTGGGAATATGGATTTATTGCAAAAAATTATATCATGAAGTATGTGACATGAATGACTGCAAGTGACAAAGGGAGGCCAGGTAATATTGTACAGTTATTGGAGGTAAACTTTGTGGCAAAAGTATCATCATCCACATTAGTGGAATGTCATAGCTTTGAAATGTAGAAAAGTATAGGGAGAGAGAAATGCATCTTAATAACACTAAAGTGAGGTTTTTTTCTCCATTTTTACCTGCAAAGCAACTGGAAAACAAAGAAAAAAGCTACAATGATTAAAGAAAAAGGTATCATTAATAGCATCAGATGTACTTACCTCTTGTGCATATTTCTGAGTGAACAATGGTGGAAACTTCAAATTTCTAACATCACTTAAGGTCTGCAAAAATAGGAAGAACAACATATAACTTTTCCAAAATAGCATTCTTCAGTAATATTACTCTATTCTTCAAAAATATGCAAACTATGCAAACAAATCAGCCTCATGGAAAAAAATTTCTTTTAAAAAGTCTTGCTTTAGTGATTAAAAATCACAACATACTTGAACAGACAAGTTGCTGCTTCTCCATGTATACAGCCTGCAACAGGAATTACAAGAATTGTGATCTTTGCAGTTTTAAATCAGTCAGATACACAAACTTGTACTTTCTCACTTCAGCTCAACAAAGTTAACAGATCTGTGCACCACCCATAACCCCCAAGATGGTCTACACCAGTATTAAGACGTGAAATGACTGTCTCTGTCTTAGCAACATAAGCACCAGTCTTTATTTAACATTTATGGAGGAATGAGCAGATTTATCAGCAGTTGTGATGGGTATTTCTGTGTTTCTTCCATACCAAGGCCACTGGCTCCATCTAGTGACAGTACTTTTACCGTGTTCAGCCAGAAGCACAATATTCAGCCCTTCATTTCTTTAAGGAAGGATCTCCTTTTTCAAACGTTTGAGCATATAAAAATTTCAAAGTTAAACCAAAATTCGGTTCACTGTTACTCCACTGAAAGTATAAACTGACCAGTTAATAGTGATGGGCAACAGTCACACTCCTGCTCAAGAGAACTGAGTTTTATGACATTAAAATGCTTCAAAAAACTTTTCCCCTTCTCTGCCAATTCAGTCTGCAATTAGTGACCAATTTCAAAACATCTAATTTGGAAATAAATTGCACTGCCACAGACTAACTGCTAACAGCTTGAGACAGAGGCAGGTCTTATGCTCCACCCACCTCTGGGGATTTTTCCAGCCAGTTGTCACAGATTCCTAGAATTTGCTGGGTTACTTGGTCAGGCAGAGCATGTTTTGCTTCAGCAAGCAATGCTAATGCTTGGCTGATGCCAATGAAAACCTCAGTGTAACAACTCAGAAAAAACTCCTGAAGTAGCCAAATTCCAGAACTTGGCAATGAAGGGGGTTGGAGGTTCCTTTTGGATTTTAGTAAAAGGAGCAGGATGATAGTGAAAATCACGGGAGGTCAGGGCACTCTTTTAACCCTTTTTTGAAGTCAAACATTGGAATTAGATGCAATTTAAATTTGATTCTAATTACTTGCTAACTGGAAGGGCAAAGCTTGTAGTCTCTGCTGTGAGAGATAGAGAATCGAGGATGGCTCTTTATTGGGAA